AAGACGCAATCAAAAGGGAGAGGAGAAGGGGGGGGGGGGGAAGGGGTCCTCTCACGCGTCGGAAACGATCGGGGGATCGGGTGTTCAAACGAAACGAAACAAAAAGAGGGCGACGGTGGAAGGGTGAAGTTTGGGTGGCCTTCCGGGTACACGCGGGATGAAGCGACGGGTGGGGGCGAGGGGGGGATCGATGGGGGGGGAGGGTCCGTTCACGGTGAGATTCACTCCTCCTCGTTTGCACACACACAGCCGGTTGGACGGGATGGAGAGGTTCAGGCGAAGCTGCTTCTGCCTTGCAGGATCTTCACACGCGCTCGGTTGGGTGGATGGGAGGAAGGATCCTGATGTTAAAGACCTTGGATGGGGGTAGATTACTAGTAATAGGGGAAAGTACCGATATATCACCAAGAAAGGAAAAAGGCGGGAGATACGGTGCGGGTCATTTAAATCAAGCGCATAAGAAGGTTTAGAACAGCAAGAAAAGGAATCCCACCGCATTCTCCTTTTTTATCCGCTGAACGTAACTCATAATTAAGCAATTAGTTGAAACGATCGTTCACTCCGAGAATATAGATTACGTATATAAAAATATTGTATTCTTTTTTGGTGGGGCTTTATGTTCGACGTGATGTTGGATTTAGGTCTCATATATAGGGTATAGTATCTATTTCGCAGGTTAGGAACACGGCAAAAAGAGTGAACCTAAAATCATACCCGTGTAAACTTAGTAAGGATGATAGATCAGAATTATATGGTCATTTGTTAGCATTTCAAAAAGGGAAATGCTCTAAGCGAGGTGTTCTTAGCCTTACCCATCTAACAAAAGGCAAGAGAAAGAAATAATAATAAAAAAGAAAGTCATTATCGGATTTGACTACAATTGTGTTCACTATTTGCTGTATTCATTTGATCTTTTTTTCCATAATATAGTTGGTAAAGTAGATATCTACGCTCCGCGATAGACGGGCAAAAAGTCGATTCGTTTAGAAAAAAACGAAGTCCACATCCTATTCGACAACTTTACAAGAGGCTCTATTCTTAACTGGGTTTCTTGTTTTATTTTGCTTTTATTTTTAACTTTTTAGTGGTTGTCAAGTGAACTTAACCTGAGTCTCCTCCAGGACCTGTTATCTATGAAAATAGCGTATTCTGCTTCTATAAAAGTTGTCACGAAGATTGTTCAGTCAAATCAGTTTGTCAAACCGCCATATCCATTTTGATAGCCGTATACGGATTGTAATCGACCACCTCCATATCCTCGACCTCGTAATCCTCCAAGTACTCGTGATCCTTGTGGAAAACCAATATCGGGAAGGGTCGAGGGACCCGTTTGAGCTGCTCCTTCAACGCAGAAACGTGATTTTTGTAAATATGCGCGTCGCCGAGTGTGTGGACGAGCTCCCCAGGCTTTAAACCCGTTGCTTTGGCGATGAGAACCGTTAAAAGGGCGTATGAGGCGATGTTAAAAGGTACCCCGAGCCCCATATCGCAGGAGCGTTGGTATAACATGCAGGAAAGCTCCTTCGTTGCGGGATTCACGTAGAATTGCCCGAGAAGGTGGCAAGGCGGGAGCGCCATCCGATGCAGCGCGCATGGATTCCACGCGATAAAGAGCATCCGGCGATCGTTCGGGTTTGTTTTGAGCGTCTCCACGATGTATTTGATCTGATCAACGCCTTTTCCATCGTAATTAGCTTTATGATTGGTGTATTCCGCGCCGAAGTGGCGCCATTGAAAGCCGTAAACGGGGCCGAGATCCATCTCCTCGTTGTCGTAAAGCCCGCGGCTGTCGAGAAAGGCGCGGGAGCCGTTATCATCCCAGATGTGAACCCCCTTATCGCTCAGAAGCTTCGCGTTGGTTTCGCCGCGAAGAAACCACAGCAACTCCTCGGAAACACCACGCCAAAAGACGCGTTTGGTTGTCAGCAAAGGGAGTTGATTATTGCGAAGGGAGAAGCGCATCTGCGCGCCAAAAAGGCTGATCGTTCCGACGCCGGTTCGGTCCTCCTTCTCCACCCCCTCGCGGAGGATGCGATCGATGAGTTGGAGGTACTGCTGCTCCTCGAGATTATGAGGAATGTACTTTTCAATCGCGTAGTGCGTATGCCCGTCGTTTTTGCTCTCCAGATCTCCCGTAGTGGATTCGAGCATCCACGGCTTTGCCGCAGCCTCGCCAGAGGGTGGGGGAAATTCAAAAAACCGCGTGCAGCTCTTTTCCGTCAGCCGAATTCGCGTGGCGTAGACGGAATGAAGAAACTCTACGCATGGGGATTCCAACGCCGCGTTGTAGACCTTCGCGCCGCCGATGCAGTAGACGGACTCCACGAAGTGGATATACGGAGGGCGCGCGAGCACCTCCAACGCCTTCGCCATCCCGCCTTCCGAGATCACAAGAAGCTGCTCCGCGGCTTCGGCTCGCTTTTCTTCCGGGAGCGCGTGAAGGAGATCTTCCTTCGTGGAAGTGCTGGAAAGAACGACGTTTAGACGACCTTTGAGCGGGCGAAACTCATTCGAGATGCTCTCCCACGTCTTACGCCCCATAATCGCCGCGTTGACCTTCCCACCGGATCCGAACTTCGGCACGGCGTTTTTCCCGCGGAGTTTGGTGGTTTGATTTTTAAAAAACGTCATATCCTCGGGCACCACCCATGGAATCGTTTTGCCGTCGCCGATGCCGTGATTCTCATCCGTAGCCACCACCATGCTGAAGGGGCGAAGAGAAGGGTAGTTGTGGTCCGCCTTGGTGAGCGGCATCGCAATTTTGTAGTTGAGGAATCGCTTGGTTAATTTCATCTTGGGTATTGCGATGGAATAGAACTTGTGGTTGATAGGTTTGGGTTTGCTGGTGATTTGTTTGGTGTTGATGTGGGTGCGTGTAAAATAAAATAGAGGTCTAAAACAAAGATCAATGAAATAATATTCAGAAATAAAAAGTGGTCAAATGCCAGCTAGGCTTCAAAAGACTGTATCGGATGCCTACAAAACAGGATCAATCTGTACACATGGAGTAAAAAAAAAACGTGAAGATCGAAGAGGGAGTGAGGAGAAATAGAGATGCGCATAGTTACACGGATTCGATAAGAGGTGTGCTAGATAGTCTCATATAAAGTATTCATAACATTTAAAAAAGAAAGAATTCAGTATTATTATTTTGAATCCGACGCTGGGTATGCTAACGAAGACATAAAAACAGACGCAGGTTGACCAAATATCTTGCTTCTCTTTGTATTGCCTACTCTTAGTCCAATAGCTTGCTCATATATAAATAGGTTTAGAAAAGCTTCAAAGCAATGGACGAATAAAAATTCAAGCAAAACGCGCGCTCTCTTTTGTTGTACTTAATAATAATAGTAAAATTTACACGTTGTATTTCTCCCCACACAATATTTTCTCTAGTGCTTCCATAAGGTTGTGTGTGTGTGTATGTGTGTGTAACTGAGTGAGTATGTGTGTGTAAGTTTATGTGTTGTGAAATTGTGTAGGAAATGTGATACATGATCCTATATATATATGTGTATATATATGTAACCTTAGTATTCAATATCCCCATCTGAAAAAGAATCAAACGCGCATCTCTTCCCCTGCCAAAGTGGTTTCTGATTAAGAACCAGCGCCAATGGAAGCCGTAGCGTCATGGCGATCGCCAAAAAGTGCGCATCCGGCTTCAGGTTCCCCCCACAGCTCAGTTTCTTCGCGAACCAACTGCACAAATCCTCAAAGCTAATCTCCCCCCGACGCTTCGCATCCAAAGTGCGGAAAATGCGGGGCGTGTGGCGGACGATATCCGGTCGATCCATATAGAACATATCCTTTATAAAATTGGCGAAATTTTCATACGTCAAGGGCCCATAGTGCTTTTCAATACACTCAAAGGTTAACGTGATAAACGACATACTCTCGCGGGCATAAATTAAAAACGGGAAGACGGTGGCGGGGACTCCAAAAACCCCTTCCAGGAGGTTCGACCCCGTTACCGTCAGCGAGGCCGAGGAGAGGACGTGGCGATTTTCGATCAAAAATTCCTTCACGTGATCGAGCTCGCGAAGCAGCTGCTGCTCCTCGGAATCCCCCCAACAGGGATGGAGATTCAGAGCGTAACTCACGGGGTTGCTCGCGCGCAGGACGCCGTGGAAAAGGCGATAATCCTCGTTTTCATCCTTATCCGGGCGGGGCGCCCCGTTCGAAAGGTTCGCCGCCTTTTCACCGGAAAGATCCTCGTCGTTCTCTATCCCCCTTTCTTCTCCCTCCCTCTCCTCCGCCTCCTTTTCCTCAAGGCTACCGTGAAGCGGGAATTCCTCGCCTTCCCCCTCCCGTGAGGGGCCTTTAAACCACTCGAGATGCTCACACCCCCGCGAAGGTCGAGAATCTGACGCAAGAAGAGTCGTCGTCGCCCCTTCCACCGGGGGCTCCGGCGTCTTTTTCGCCGCGGCGGGGGAAATTCTCGCGCCCTCGGCGAGCAACGCGCGCCCCCACGCCGTCCGTGGGGTGTAACGCAACCCCAGCTGATTCTCCAACTCCCCGATGAAGTCGAGGAGGCTGTGTTTGTGATAGCAAAGCACGGCGTGCTCGACCACCTCGTCGATGACGCGCACGGCGGGGTAAAACGGATCCCCACGCGAGGCATGGACGTCCATGCAGTACACCTCCGCGGCGATTTGACGGGAATAGCGCGTCGCCAGCCAGACTTCGAACGGGGAAAGGCCGTAATGCCCGTTGCGCGGGTTTAACGCGGCGTAGCGTCGGCGATGCCCCGCGAAGACCACCACCTCCTCGTCGTCGTCGTCGGCGGCGGCGGCGTCGCCGGGAGGCCACCAGGGCTCCAACGCGCGGAAAAATCGCGGGAGAAACGACCCCGGCCCCCGCCCGATTGGGGCCCCTCGCGGGGTG